CATAGAATATCATGACTAACACGGAGGCTACAGAAATATATGCTAATCTGTGAACTTTAAGCCAAAATTTCTTTGGATTCTCTTTCTGTATCTGTGCTCAGAACCTTACAGCTAATTACACATTTGCTAATTGTAGCCTGCTTTTTCCAACCTCTTTCATTTCAGCTCGAAAAGGAAACATGATCATGGTGACTCTGCAGGTACTCTGTAGAAAAAACAACATTTTACTGAATCTCAGCATTACTTTCCTATGTGAATAGCAAGTCTTTGTCTGCAGCTACTATTCTATACAGTTGTTCTGAATATTTTGTCAGATTACACTAAAAATGAAAGTGACATGAAATAATGAAAATCATATTTAAAGTTAGCTGTGTTTTAATGTGGCATTTTGCCAGTTAAATATTTTTCAAAAACGTTGCAATAGCTGCTGATTTTGAAGCTGCTTTTTCAGTACTTCTACAGGGATGGCATTTACGATACTACTGCTGTATCAGCGAAACTACCAATACAGGTATTTTACTTTTTAGCTTGCTTTATAGCCCTTTATACAAGGCCTTCCTACAACAGTTCTGCAGTAGCATTAATTTCATAAAGGTCCTGAAGGTCATTCTTATTTTCAGTCAAATAACAATATCCAAGAATTTTAATGATGCTCCTGCGTTAGTGTTATAATATTCAGAATTGTTATAAAATTCAACAACGTATGAAAATGTCATCGCTAGGGATGAATGAAGCAGTTCATTTGAAAATGAAAATCAGCCCAAATCTTTGCAGGTGTTAAAAAAACTTAAGGTAATTTCATTTTGTCTCCCCTACCTCCACTTCTCAGGTACTTCTACAAGTTCCGGTGCCTGAAATATCATCATAATTGATTTTTCTAGACAAAGGAAGTGCTTAGAGCTAATTATTTAAACTTAAGTACAGCATTTGGTACAGTGCCATGTGGGAAAATATTAGCTAAAATGGGAGATTAGTACAGAAATTGAAAAGTGAATAAGAAAGTGAGCAGTAGGAGAAGATCAGTACTGAGAGAAGGTAGTAGAGCTTCCCAAGCATCAGTCTTGGGCCTGATATTATTTAAAATTTTTTATTAATGATGATCCCATAAAAAATAAACGTGTGCTAATGGAATTTACCAATGGCATAAGGGAAGGAGGTACTGTCACTGCAGACAAATAAAACTCTCATTTAGGAAGAACTGAGTGACCTTGAGGACCAGGATAGGATAAATTGGATTAAATTCAGAAGGATTTGAGTGCAAGTTCATGCATCTGGGTCTTGTTAACCAGGTTTCTACTATACCTGCATGCTCATAGGTGAGAAAAGAATAAGGAGGGGAAAGACACAGAACATACAAAGCAAGGTATTTTCACCAGGGTAATGAAACGCCGGTAATGGTGTATGAGGCACATGCTAGAAATCAGCCAGGATAGTGCATGCTATTCACAAATGATTCCCTTCACTTTCGGGAAGATACTGAAACGGGCGATTAGAGTGACCATGGGAAGGGAGAGCCTTCAGCGTCAGAGGAGTTTGGCAAAATGAAGGCGGAGGGAGGCCACTATAAATACCGCATGGGCATAAGCTCCAGGAAGAGAAAACATCTATTTAAACTAAAGGACAACATTGGCACAAGAACAAATGAGTATAAATTGGTCATGAATAAATTTAGGATGGAAATTGGAAGCAGGTTTCCAAACAACAGAATAGCAATGTTCTGCAATTGCTTTCCAGTGAGAACTGTGGAAACAGCAACAACAAAAAACCCCGAGCTACTTTTAAGATGGAGTATAATGAGTTTCTGAAAGGGATTATATGATGTGTTTGGCTAAGATAGCAGGGAAGTAGACTTGATGACCCAAGAGGTCTATGCAGGCCTGTCTTTCTAAGCCTGTTTTTCATGACCAAGTATTTCAGAGCACTTTTAAGTGCTTCCTTTCCTTCATGTATTTTTTAGATAAATTTTTTATAGTATACTGCAGGGACTGCTAGCTGGATTGATTTAGGGAAGGCACGAAACTGTGGTGTCCAGAATACGCTGAATACTCTCCAAACAAAACAAGAGAAGTGTCCGGCATCCTACAGGGCAAGGCTCGGGGTGCGTAAAGAAATCATCGTTTCCAGTGGAAGGCAATGGGGACTAAGTCCAAACAGGAGCAGCACCCCTTTGAGGTCTGGTTCTCTGTCGTTTCTCCTACTCTCCCAAACCTGCTGCTCTGTTTTGTAGTTTGTCTTCTCAGCCCCACTGCACATATGCGGCAGTACGAAATAGGATGGCAAACAACAGTTTAGATGCATAAGATTAAATGGATAAAAAATGGAGCAGTCGGTGTGCGTCTGACTGGGTGCCAACAGTGCAGAGCTGCAGTAAAGATGGCTTGTTTGGGAGAAGGGAGGATTTCTCCAGCCTCGGTGGTGTGGTGCAGAGCTGTGCTAGCAGTGTCATGGTTTCTCTCTTCTCAGCCCAGGAAGGACCTATGTCCTTTGGTTTGGTTTATCCTGCTTGGTGCCTCAGTGCTTGCGCAGTGTCCCTTGTTCCAAAACCCAGCATTTCCATTACTTCTTAAAAGCTGCATGTCCCCTAGTCAATGTGGCCATAAAGGGATTTGTATGGAAGCCCGGGCTTCAGGGTTCAGTAGCTGGAGTTTTATGGGTTCCTTACCCACGAGAGCAAAATTAGGTGTTTACAGCTCTTTTACAGCAATAGATACTGCTTCATCAAAGTGCTGGGAGTATGCAGGCTGGCCTGGTAATGTGGCGACTCCTTTATTAAGAGAGCATCTCATAGTAAAAAGTTTATGATTTTCTACCTATGCTTTAGTTGAAACCTGATGAGTGTGGCAATGAGATCCGCAGAAGTGGATGACTCTGGTTGTTTTTCCTCTCCAGCTAACTACACACATCCTTTTTCTGAAATCAACTATTAATATTGAGAAAAGTTTAAGAAATGGGAAAGTTAGATGAAATCCCCAAGAGTACAAGTAGTTTGGAAAAGGAGAAGCAATAGGCAGCAGCTTTATAAGGGAACAGTACTTTGCTTACATTGTCGCCATCCACATTAATCACATTTGCAGCAGGCAGCAGCTCTGCCTTTTTGTGCAAATACTTTAACAACTGGTTTAAAAAACCGAGCAGGATAGCTAAGTCCCCAGGTTCGCATAAACAGGGTAATGAACACCTGCGTGACAAGATAGAAAAGCCACAAACACGGTGGTGGAAGTTTTCAGTCCCTCTTCAGCTGAGGTTTTCTGCAGCTTTCTCGGCCCCTCAGGTGCCGGGCAGGGAGGCAGCTGCTCGCCGGGGTCTCCCTGTGGGGCAAGAGGCTCACGGTGCCTCCGAAAGCTGCAGCTTTGCTGTCGGTGACTTTGGTGCAGTGCCTGGTGTGTGAGCTATCCTGTGACTCACTGGTCAGAAATGCCCATCCCTCAAAAGGAAAAGCTAAAGCTCGTTCGAAAAAAACCATTTTCAGGGAAAAAACTATATTAAAGGTCAGAACTGAAAGACACGTGCTGTGAAACAATCAAGAGAAAACATTTTGATTGATTGAAACTTTAAAAGAGCAGCCCTTATTTTCAGTGTTTTTTAATTTAATTTTTCTTCCTGAAATGTGTGTATCTAGAGAGCTATTTTTTCACCCATCCTTAACTTCAACCGGGACATCACGTTCTATGAACACCTGGGTGAGATGATTTCATTCTGCCCTGTCGTGCTAGCAAACTCAATTTCAAACGAATCAATCATATGCACCACCTGGACTTATCGCTATATTTTAGTGAGTTATTACTCAGACACCCAGGTGTGAGAACGTAGCTCATCAGGGGAGTGCAGCGGCCTCGTGCCAGGGACGAATCCAGCCCTGCGCTCGCTGCAGCCCAAAGGGGCCGGCCCGGTGGCCATGGCTGCAGGGGCAGTGCCGCCTTGGCACTGCCGTGCTGTGCCGCTCGGCGCCAGGAAACATGCTTGGTTTTTCCATGGGTGGAAATATCGATGGGGGTATAAAAGCACATTTTCAGCTTGTTTGCAAACAGGCCCATTTGCAAGCACATGGGAGCTTTCAAGTGACAAGCGTACTGAGGAAATGCCTGTGGCCACAGCAGGTGAGAGAAATGGCTTTTTCAGACATGTCTCTGGATTTTGGCTGCCTGCTCGCGCACTGCACGAAGGCGGCAGCGGCACCGATGGCGTCACGAAGGATGTGAGGGGCCTCCTTGCCTGTGCTGAGGCTGTTGCCTGCCTCCAAGCAGAAATAATGAGCACTCCTGACATTAACTATGATTAAACACAACCAAAGCCTATCAGAATAACCACTCGTGAGGTAAATCAGCTGCGGGCCGGTGTCTGTGGTGCTAGACCAGCCCCTGTGGAGCAGGGGCTGTGCTCAGCACCCACGGCCTGAGGTGAGTGGCCTGGCGGGGTGGGCACAATGAGGCCAGCTTTCTTTCTCTGCTTTCTCACCCCTGGGGATTTTAAAAATAAGAGGTTCAAGAATAATCCCTGCTTTGCAGAGGGCCTTTGGGGTCCTGCTTCGCCCTTCTTTGTCTCCCCTTGGGTTAACGCCAGAGGAGACAAACGCCTGGCAGCAGCCACTGACAATGGCGCCACAGTTCTGGCCTCCCTGCCCCGACCCAGGGTGGCCATCGGCCCCATGGCCATCGTGCACCTCAACATGTCATGTCCCTGCCAAGTGGGGAGCCGCATGGGTGACAGTGGGCTGTGAAATGACACCTCTGTGCATGAGCTGCGACGCCATGAGGATGTTACAGCCTGAAAAAAGGAAAACAAAAAGGGGCAAAGGAAAAAAAACCCACAAAAAAGCTGTGCTCGTTCCTCACTCTTCCCTCAGTGCTGTCTCACCCTGTGCGGAGGCTTCAGAGGTGTGAACACATCCTGTTTACATCTGCCACCGAGACAGAGATGCTGAAGGGAGCACACGGCTGAGGAGTGGTCGGAGGCACCGCCGTGCACAGGGAGAGCTGCCTGCAGTGAGAGACGGCGCCAGCATGGACGCGCTGCCCATCTACCATGGGGGCATCACCCGTGAGGCTGGGGAGAAGCTGCTGCTGGCAGCGGGTACTGATGGCAGCTACCTGCTGCGGGACAGCGAGAGCATCCCGGGAGTCTACTGCCTCTGTGTACTGTGAGTGCAGCCGGCGCCGCGCAGCTCGCATTGCCTCTCTGGGGTGCGGGGCAGCTGAAGGCAGTGGGGCTGGGAGCAGGGTGCCGGGAAGGGCTGGTTGGGTGGTAGTTGACTTCCAACCTTCGCATCCACAGTATGGGGTGTTCCCGCATAACAGTGACAAAATATGTCCTAATTACCGTTTGCAGACATGTGTGAGACTTTCAGCTCCTTCACTTTGACTTAAGGCAGAGGGGTTGGTGTGGGGTCCTTTGCAGAGTGAAGAGGAGCAGGGTTTGCCTTGCAGAGCCCACACTTCCTACGGGCATAAAACAAAAAGAGAAAGCAGGCCTGGAGCACGTAGGAAGGACGAGCGAGGTGCCATGGAGAAGAGCCAGGCAACTTGCCTTGGGATGGCGTGCACTGCCTCTTTGTGCTGGATAATCCTCTTGCTTTCTGCCCACTGTCTTCCGCTTCATGCACTCATGGGTGTGCTTAGCAACATCCTCAGTGTCCCCTGTCATCAGGAAGGGTAGCGTGGATTGCTGTCATCCAGAACATGCTTTTGCTTCGAGACGCTCTCAGTCAGGCTGTATGTCCCTTGAGCCATTGGGCTTGGAGTAAACTACCGGTAAAGTACATGAAATACTGATCGGTAACAAACTAAGTGGTAATGTTTCATCAAGCAGGGTGAAAGGGAAAAGATCTGATGGGGTGGTCTGTCAGAGAGAGGGTAGAGAGGTTTCCCTGAGAGAGCTGGGGGACTTTATAGTCATAGGACCTCGTTTTAATGAGACAATTTAATTACCCTACTTTTGGCAAAAGCAGAAGTCTCGGAAGTCCTGAGAGATAACGCTGTACAGTGAAGCACATTGCATCGGAAGAACAAAGAAGTGTCTACCAAGGCTAAACACACACTTGCGCCTTACTTCAGTAGGAGAAGGAATACAAGAAAAAAACGTTTTAGGGCCAGCAAGAAATTATCTAACAGAGGGCACTTAGGTACCTGGCAAAAAAACAGAAGAGGAAGAAGAGCCCTGAGTCAGGTTTTGCCCATATGTCTTGAATACCTTTTCAATAATATCTATTTAAGCCCTGGGTGGGCATTATTATTCCCCTGTTGTAGACCAGTAAATGGAGGCATGCAAGAAGGTTACAGGCAATCCAGAAATACGCAACCTTCTTTTCAGGGAAGATCTTTGTGGCAGAAGATGTATTTTTTTCTTCTTTAATGAAATCAGAAGGTGAACCAAGATAGGCGCTACTGCTAACAGATACCTTAACAGCTAGCTGAAAACTGGGAAATAAGAAGCATCTTGAGTTAAATGAAAATGGAATAGACATAGCAAGAGGTAAGGAGTGCTATGATTCCTGTGATTGGAATAGGCAATAAAAGCAGCATCTCTTTTAAATAACCATCAGAGGAAATGGTGATATATCTCCTTAACACTCAGAAGTCATTCAGTGCGGGTGAAACACTAAGGCATTAGAGAAAGGGTCAGGCAGAATGTTACAATGCTGAATAAAATAGAGAATCCTAAAATTAGTTCACCATTAGTCTAAATCAGGGTGTAGGTATGTAACAATGTCTTTCATCTGCACACAATCAGTTGGGATTTTTTGCTATATTAGTGGTAATTTATGTCCTTCGGAAGAAATTTCATGAATGAAATAAAATATATAAAATGAAAATAGGAAGAACAGAAAGGATTGCTAACTATGAAGCTCTGCAATATTTGGAGGAAAAGAAAAGAGACTTCAGTAAGAAACAGAGCTAATTGTTTCTGGAAATTATGGGCCACTCATGTCTTCATGTTATGTTGCATTCAAACATATGTATGATAAGCAAAGGGGTAAAAGCAAAAAATATTACTGATGAATGTTATGCAGGCTTCTTATAGAATATAGATCCTCAATAAATTTTTTATAAGGGAAATTTTCAATAGCATCTTGGATAAATCCAGATAAAAAATTAAATGAAAAATGTTATGATGAGTATGATCTGATATAGACAGAAAGGTGGCTGAAAAATGCTAGAGCTAAGCCTTGGTTCCAATACTTCTTAATCTTTCAATTCAGAGCATTATGTAAGAAATAGCAGATACAGTAAACAACATATCACACAATAACTTTGGATACAGTTATCGTAAAGATACCAGGAAATGGTCTCACACCGAAGATAGCAATGACAGTTTAAAGAAAATGTGAGCCATAAACTAGCAAAGTGCTTTGACAGGCAAAAGTTTACCTAAGCAGAGCACTTTAGTGGAGAGATTGGAGGAGCAAGTAGGGAAGGCATGAGAGATGTAGGTATGTACTCAATGGAGGATGCTAAGCCTGGCTTTGGCGAGATAACTCAATGGACCCAACCTCCCAAATTCCAGTCTGAACATCATGCAGAGAGGTGAAACAGGTGGCAAGCACGTATGTGCATGAGAGCTTTGGTAAAATCTGAGGGAAACATGCGGTTGCTGTATTCACTGTTTAAGAAAATGAAAGAAAGAGTAAGTACTTCTCTGCTTTTTTATACTTCCTTCTAAATAAATAACGGAAATTATTAGGAAGAACAAAGTTATTAAGAAATTTACATTTCGATTCAGAATCCGTGCTGAAGACCACTCTAGGAATACCTAGATATATCAAGATTAGGCAAAAATATGTATTTACTGGAAGTACTGAAGTGATCTTTGAAACATGAGAAACAAAGCAACTCAGCCATTAGATATATTGCAATAAGTGTCAGAGCTGAACAAAAAATTTTATGTTTCTAATGACAATTTCTAACAGAAGTCAAACTGTTTCATACTGCCAGCGATGTTTCTATTGCTCTTAGAAAAGAAAAAGAGAAAAATAGTCCAGTTTTCCAAAATCAAAACATGTTCAGTCTGTCTTCTCTCTCTTCTCGCTACCCTTCCCTAGAGAAGTAAAACAAAACAAACCTAAACCCCCCCAGCTCCCCAGATCCAAGCCTTCGTAGGGTTCTTTTTTTTTACCATGGGGGAAGAAGGGAGTTGTCAAAATTAAAAGGCACAGTTCTGATGAAGAGAAAATAAACATTTATCAAAAAAACCATTAAGCAAATATGTGGGTGATGATACTGTCATCGGCTTGAATTCACGTAGGTGGCCGCTCTGCACTTTCAGCTCCAGGTACAGTAATTGGTAAGTCCTGCTTAGGCTCAGACAATGCCTCCTTTTTCCAAGAAACCATGTAAGTTTGTAATGCCACGTCGTCCCCCTCAGGCACCCCCAAAAAGCCCTAACATATTTGGCCACTCTTTGAGCCTCCTAAGGCAGCAGTGTTCACGGTCAGGCTCATTCGCCTTTTGCTTTTCCAATTAAAAAGTGGAGCCCTGACCTTTCAAAAGGAGAAGAGTCAAAGACTTCATGAATCCCTTGCGACTGACACTGATTTTGCAGGGCAAGCATAAAAGAGACAGGTAGTAGCATAAAACTTGACCTACAGAGATGGATAACTGCAGCAGGCAGGCCCCTGTTGTTGGAGCGTTTGGCTCGACAACTCTGCTTGCTTTCTTCTTTGTTTCTCCTGAAGTATTGCTTTATCTTCCTTGAATGCTGCTTTCTGCTGTCCGAAGTCACGGTGTGCACATGGCATGCCTGCAAGCCTTCAAAGAGAGAATGTTTTTTGGTGTGGCCGTGGCAAAGCATGAAGAACCCACTTTCATGAATATTTTAAGAACACAATTAAACTGTGCATGAAAGAGTAGAAAGGTTTTGATTTGCAACAGTGTCCCCCTGTCTTGCAAACAGAGGTGCTGCCTGCAGATTTTAGCAAAGTTTTTTAATACCATGTGATCCCAAGATCTTCATCGTATGAATGCCATTATTAAATTGAGAATATATACTTTAAGGATGTTGTTTGTCATGTTTGAACGTGTCATCTGAGGAGCACAATCTTTTCCTGGAAATTTTTTAGGGTTGCATTGAAAAGCAAGAAGATTTTTGCTGGTCCTGATTAAAAAATGTACACGTTTTACCTGTAAACATGTTAGACACTACATGCAGTGCGCCAAGGTTTTAGTATCAAAACCTGATTGTTCCAGGGAGCTTTCTTTACTGGTCTGGTTTCCTCTTTGCTCAATACCCCATTTGACATTTTTAGCACCCTCAGAAATCCTCTGTGCACACCGCTCCTAATGAAGTCAATGGGGGACACAGGACACAATAACGGTGGCTAGTTTGAGAAGCAGCCTCTTAAACTGTGCCTGAAAAACGCATAAATAAAATGCCTGAGAGTGCCAAAAGCACTACTTTCCTTTACAGATATATGAGCACACATGCAGAAACAAGCAGCTCGTGCCTGAATTGGCAAAGATAAAGCATTTGTAGTTTGGGTCTTAAAATTCATATACTCGAAAATACTTGGAATGTTAGTAGTTGTTTCAGACCTTTAAGTAAGCTAAACATGACATACTTGTCAAACTGTATGTTCAGATTATTTGTTTGAAACCAGCCATTCATGTACTGTGCTGCATTCAATTTGTGGAGAATAATCAAAAGCTGGAATAGAGAGCTGTTTAGAGCCAGTAATGGCAACAGGGATAGGCTGCAGTCCTATCAGATTTTACGTGTGCTATTTTTTCTGTCACCATAATCACAGTGCACAAGTTCAGGCAACGTGCCGAAACTTTCTGATGCGGCAGATGTATCAGCTGTACAGCGTGAAGGTGTAATACAGGATCACGAGCAAGCTTCAGCTTAGCATTTCTTTTGTTTCCCATGTAATATTTTTGATAGAAATGGCAGAATAATTGCATTTATTATAACACTGCACATAATAATCATCATCATTTAAAATGTAATTTGGAACAAAAGCTTCTCTCTGAGGAGGAACTCCTCACTTCAAGGTTGCTGTTGCAAATATAACACACTATTTTCAGCTTTGAAAAAAGTCTACAGCACAACGGTAAATTCTACTGAGGTGAGCATTTCAGCTCCCTGCTAATCAGAGTGAGCTTCGTCTTTGCTGAGAATAACTTGGCTAATGGCCTTCAGATATCC